ACTACTACATAGCTTTGACACGTGTGTGGATGGGATTATAAGTATCGAGTTCATTATTTTTATGTCTCAAAATAAGTAAAATGTGAGTCATATAAATTTCATTGGCACGTTATTATTTATCATTCAAGTTAAAAAAAATACTTAGAGGTTGTCCTCTTTCTATTTTGAGTTTTGAATTCATTTTGAGTTTTGTGTGTCCATTTTGATATTGTTGAAAATGTGTTCTTTTTGACATTTTGAAAAATTGTTTTGAAAATACACAAAACGCATTTTGAAAATTTTGACTTCATTATAACCGAAAACGTCCAAAACGACTTTTTAACTTGTTTTCAAAAACGCGTTTTCGAAAATAGAAAAGAGAACGCGTTTTCACTATTTTGGAAAATCGAAAATAGAAAACGGCTTGAAAATGATAAAGAGAACATGTCCTTAATGTTGTAAGTTGCGGTTTTTTTTTTGTCTTTCTAAAAAGTATTATGAAATTACGACGTGTCCAACAATAGGTTATTTTATCTAGTTGGATGATAAGAATAATACAGAATAATTTTTCACGTAGTGTCATGATCCAAAAAAGAGAGAAATTAACACGAAATTATCAATTATACATTTCTTCTATATAGTATTTAATTGAGTTAACAACAATTATTAAAATCTAATTGTGGAAAGTTTTTTGAATTATTATTTATTTTAAGGCTTTTTCCCAATTTAAAATGGTAACGGATAGATTATAGTAATTGTATATTTAAATATCTTAGTCCAAACGTGTACTGCATATGGAAGCGTCTTGGAAATGGTCCATCAAACACGTGACAAATTATCCGTGTCCGAAATCACAACCATCGGATGAATCCAAAATATCATCAAATCCAACGGTCCATATTCCATTAAAGACCGACGCAACATCTCCATTATATGGCACCGCGGCTTCGATGGAAGCTTCCTATGTCTGATTCTCCCCTCCATATATATATTCGTTTTCCACACTCGACTATCATCAAAATTGAAATCCATCTCTCTTCAAATTTTCCGATCTCTGAAATCTGTTTCTTCTTTATTTTTTCTGGCTAGAATTAATCTATTCGATGGCAAATCCAGCAGAAGTTTCAGCAATTGAACAAATTAGAATGCATCTTCTCGGAGAGTTTTATCCAACAGAGCTTTCATTTGCTGCTGATATCGAAAGAACCAGTAGCGTAAATTCATCAGTTTCGAGCTCTCAATCTGAGTATGCAGTTTCGATTTCTGATTATTTCATGGATCTTGAGCAGAATGAATTGGATTTTAGCGACTTTTCAAGTCCCGAGTCTGTAGATTTGGTGCAAAATCAATTAAATCCACCAATTATAGACCTCAATACACCAAAGGCGCAAACATTGACAGAGAGGAAGCCTTCTTCGAAGATTGAATTACCGGTGGTGAAGAAAGTCGACATGATCGACTTCTCCGAGTCGACGCAGTCGAACTCGGTGCAGGCCAACTCCGCTGTAGAGGAGAAGAATCATTACAGAGGAGTAAGACGGCGGCGGTGGGGAAAGTACGCGGCAGAGATCAGGGACCCTATGCGGCGGGGCTCACGTGTCTGGCTTGGGACATTCGACACCGCCATCGAAGGCGCCAAAGCTTATGACAGAGCGGCGTTCAAGATGCGGGGTAGCAAGGCAATTTTGAACTTCCCGCTGGATATTCAGAATGAAGTATATGAATCAGACGCCACCGTCGACGTAGGGCGAAAGCGGCAGAGAGAAGCAGAGCAGGTGGAAGAAAAGAAGTCGATAAAACTGGAAACGACAGTAACAAATGAAATGATGCAACGGCCGTTAACGCCGTCATGTTTGAGCTCAGTTTGGGATCAGTTCGGTTATCCACAGCTCCTTGTTACATGAAAGGAAATATATATATATATATATATTTATACAAGAAATTGCCACTTAATAGTCACTTTTGTCTAATGTGCTTTTGTGTTTATATACGGCCACTGGACAATCGAAAATTAGTTCATAATATCAGAGGTATGGTAGGGACTTTAGAAGTCGGACTAATTTTTATAGGAAACACGATTGTGATTATTGTCGACACATTTTGTGAATCGTACAGCTTAAATCACTCTCGAACAAGGTCGTTGTTTTCAAATAATCATGAAGCGGTTTGTCTTGCATCCTTTGTCACCTGGGTGTTTCATGCCTTTTTTTTTTTTTTGTTGGTTTTTTTTTTCCCTAAAAATTACTTTGTCCCCAAATTGGATCCGAAGAATTAAAAAAAAAACACGTCAACAATGAACAAACCGAGAACATGGCTCCATGCAAAAATATTTGTAATTATTAAATTAGTTTCACGTAATAGAAAAGTCGTTATTATGACTTCATCCTTAGTTTGACTTCTAGTCGGTCCACATGTAACATGAGATAGTAATCAATGTGCAAAAGTAAAGTCTGAACTAGAGCAGGCAATAACTAGAAAGTGATTGTATTAGATTTAGATTAAGGGTAGTGTTATGTTATATCCGCGGGGTCGAAAATGGTGATCGACTTTATCCTTTTGTTTGAACTTGAAGACTTTCTCCTATAAGCTTTACGCTTAGAGACTATTTTGTACACTGTTAACTTACAAATTGTCTACGGAGAATTGGGGTCCAACGTAATTTCCATACCTAGCAATTAAAAGCTTTGACCACCCCTTGAAAAGAAACCTAACTGAAATCTTCAATAGGTACTCTTCAATCATCAATATGGGGTTTGAATCAACTTTTGTATATTTATATTTTGGTCCTCGAACTTTGAAAATCATCATTTTTCGTCCATCTTTTTGTTCTTTTCTTCCAATTTCACTTCTTGAATTGTTCCTAGCAAAGGATAAACACACGAGATTATGCTATAATTTATCAAAAGTAGTACAAATCATTATTTAATGACCTTCATAAGTATACAAAATACAATAAAATTCAAATTAAAAATTTCTTAAGGAACATGCCTTTGACATTCAAATCGCTCGGGATGCAAGATTAAGCACATTCAAATCATTGCCACTGGCCGGCTTGGCTCTGTACATGCTCGGGTTTGGTTCGTGTTCAGGTGCTGGTGGGTCCATGTACTAAATTAACTTTTTGGACAAAATTTATTTAAATTTTTTGGGTCAAATTGTAATTAGTCAATTTTTTGGGTACTTAATGAAATTAATTTTGAAAAGGCTTGAAGGATATTCAAATGACCACGAACGAGTCTATAAATAGCATCTCCAGCTACCGGAATAATAACACATTTTCATTGCAAACTTTCTTTACTTTTAATTTCGTTGTTTCTCTCGTTTTGATATTGTTCTCGAAGTGTAAACATTTCATTGAGTTCGTTGAGACTCCTATTGATTGTCGTGCTACTTCCGTAGAATATGAAATTTGTTTTATCTTGAGAAACAATTGTTGAACACCTTTAGCAAATTTGAAGGCGCCAAATTCGTTTTAAGAAAATATCGTGAAGTTGGTGGACTCGATTTAATTTTCTGATCCCGTTGATCATGTTGTTACAATGTGCAAATTACATTAAAGTAATTCTATCGATGTTTGTATATTGAAATTATTCGAAAGATGAATTTATACTCAAGCAACAACACTCCAAACATTTTTGCTCGTGGACAGCCTTTCATTGTATTATTGATCCAAGATGACTATTCCTTTAGTATCGCTCATGGTCCTCAATTTTGTAATTTTGTCACAGCTCAAATTAAATCAAGCATCGTAAAACATTAGAGTGAAGTTAATTTTCAATGTTGCTCGTGAAAACATCCGAAAGCATATTCATTTTCCTTTATCCGTTTGCTGTATATATACACGACAGCACATCGGACAAACAAAAAATTTTATACAAGCATTTCTTTCTTTCATATCACAGTAACCTGTGGGTAACCAAACGGAGATAACGGTGGAAAGTTAAATGTCTCGTGCGCGCTCTGATCCCAAACTGAGCTCAAACATGACGGCGTTAACGGCCATTGCATCATTTCATTTTTTTCTGTCGTTTCCAGTTTTATCGACTTTTTTTCTTCCACCACTACTACTTCCTCTTCTCTCCGTCGCTTTCGCCCTACGTCGACGGTGGCTTCTGATCCGCATACTTCCTTCTGAATCTCCAGTGGGAAGTTCAAAATCGCCTTGTTCCCCCGCATCTCGAACGCCGCCTTGTCATAAGCTTTGGCGGCTTCGATGGCGGTGTCGAACGTCCCAAGCCAGACACGTGAGCCACGCCGCTTAGGGTCCCTGATCTCTGCCGCGTACTTGCCCCACGGCCGGCGTCTTACCCCTCTGTAATGACTCTTTTCCTCAACAGCCGAGTTGTCCTGCACCATCGCTACCGAGTTCGAATGAGTCGACTTGGAGAAATCGAACAGGTCCAATTTCTTCACCTCCGGCAATTCAATCTTCAATGAAGGCTTCCTCTCTGTCAATGTTTGCGCCTTTGGTGTAGTGAGGTCTATAATTGGTGGATTTAATTGATTTTGCCCCAAATCTACGGACTCATGGCTTGAAAAGTCGCTAAAATCAAAATCATTCTGCTCAAGATTCATGAAATAATCAGAAATTGAAACTGTATAGTCAGATTGAGAGCTCGAAACTGATGAATTTATGCTACTAGTTCTTTCGATCTCAGCAGCAAAAGGAAGCTCCGTTGGAGAAAACTCTCCGAGAAGATGCATTCTAATTTGTTCAATTGCTGAAACTTCTGCTTGATTTGCCATCTAATGTAATTAATTCCAGCCAGAAAAAATAAAAAGATCTGGATTTTTTTAGAGGAAATGGATTTCAATTTTCAACAATAGTTGAGATTGAAGCTATAAGAGTGGAAAAAGAATATATATATAGGGGGGATTCGGAGATAGGAAGCTTCCACTGAATCGCTACGCAATGGCGATGTTGGATCAGTCTTTGATGGATATGCACCGTTAGATCGTCAGATGGTTGGATTTCGGAGCTGGATAATTTGTCACGTTGTTTGATGAGCCACTTCCAAGACACTTCCCTTACACGTTTAAAAGAATTGTATAATTGTAATTTTAATATATTTAGGCACCGTTTGGTAA